CACACACACACACACACACACACATATACACACACGCACACGCACACACACACACACACACACACACACACACATACACACACGCACACACACGCGCGCGCGTGCCTGCAAGTACGACGTGTGTAATCATATAGTATAGTTTATACGGCACGCAAGCGAAGCGCATGTATTGCTTGCTATAGTAGACATACATTTACCACATTCATAACTATTACAGAAATCCCTTTCTAGTTTGCACTAGTTATGCTCACATACGCCACAATCGCCATTAAGTGTAGTTGAATAAGCGACTGTTTGGTATGGTTGAATATTGAGATTGGTCCGCCAAAATGGGAAATCCGCAGTTTGGGCAGCACGATCTACTTGCAAGAACCAAGTTGTAAGATTGTGCAAAATTCCAAGTTTTGGTACAACACGCACACCACACACACGCACACGCGCGCGCAACAAGGTAGACAATATAATATATAATCGATATGCAATATGGACCCTGTATTAATCTCTATAATATCCCTGGGCCACCAAAATATTATCATAGTGTATGTGTTCTTTTATATAATGTTCAGCTGCTATTTCTGGCTGCGAAGATTTTACCATAGCGATATATACATCAATGATAGGATTACTTACTACACCATCAGAGTGTGACACGGATATACAATTTCTGTGTGCGTACATACTATTGCACTATCCCCCCCTTATAACTAGAAACCACTATTAGCACATAAACTAAATTGCAAACGGCGTTTAAAATTTCGACTCGGTTACATCTTGGAGTAATGTTTCGGAATGATTACGCCAAGGTTATAATATGTGCATAGGCATGCGTTCCAGTTTTGTCCATTTCCATTTCATAGAACTGTTTGTGCATCCATAGCGTCAGGAGTGTCATAATATAGCGTGCAATGATTTATGGTGTCAGCATAACGTGTATGTAGTAGCCTATATGGCATGCACTTGGGCCGTTCAAATGATTTGTTAATTTATGATCACTATGAAAGCTTTTGAAATGATTGTGCAAGAAACAGTAACCAGATATGATAATTTTAGCAAAACATTAGCAACAAAAGTCAAAAGGCATAAAATTCGTAGTCTTGGAACGGCCCGTTGAGAATACAACATACCATTCTCTTACTAGATTGCAAATGTAGTAAATCATTTCTGGGAAGAAATGGTGGCCCTGAAAAGGGCCGGTTGGTTTCACTGGTACGGCGGTTGACTCTACTTGGAGCTGGTGTACTTTGTGACAGCCTTGGTGCCCTCAGATACTGCGTGCTTGGCCAG